TTTTCCTTCTTCCATGAACATGTTGGGCTTTTACAAAACAATAAGCAAAAAAAACAATCAAATACGTTCCAGCTGTAGCTTTAAAATAGACACGCACACCAACATATAAAGAAAAATCAGTGACTCTGTGATGAAAATCTTCTGAAATCTTTTTGTGTATCAGGATACAGAAAATATGTACCTGCCGGACAAGAAGTCAGTTCATCACATCCACATGATTATTATTAATAAAACCAGTGAGAGACACCGGATCTCAAATAAACACTGGCAGCTGTCATGAATCAAAACTTATCAAACCAATTATGACTTCCAGGCAGCAGCAGTGACAACATACTACTGTGTGACACAAAGACAAACACACACAGAGCACACCAGCGAGAGGACAAACACCAGTGAACTCTCACACACTTACACACACACACGCTTTTCATGTGCAGCCTGACAGAGACACACTTGCAGAGATCCTTTTCCCTAAAATGGCCGATAGGTCTTCAGTGGGAGCACAGAGGCGTTGACCAGTCAGAGGAAATGCCCTATACTCATCTCACTTTCCATCTCCCCAAGTCATTTTCTCCCTCTTTCTCTGAATGTTTTCACCCCTGGCACAGTTATCCTGCCTTAGTCCCCTGCTTTGTTCACCTTTACGCTTGATCTGACAGACAAGAGTCAGAGAAAAGAGTCCGAGGTGAACAGGACATACAAGCAGGTGTCAAGCGAAAACAGCTGCACTGGTTGAAATCAGTTTTCTTCTCCAGGTAGTGTGAAAGATTAATTTGCAGAAAATCTCTGGGAATCTCTTAATTAAATATTAAGTTGAGCATCGTTTCACGCTCTCACCAGGAATCAACCAGGAAACCTAATTTAGAATTTCCCACAGGTAAGATGTTAAAGCTAACTGGCCTGTTGTGACCACACAAACCAAGACAGGCTGAGACGAGTAAAGCATTATTACTAAGCCTGAGGCTTCATGGCTACTGATGAACAATTAACAACCAGAAAAAAGGGAATAAAGCCAGGGAAACTGAAGAAACCTGAAATATTACAATACATAATTAGAGCCAAATTATAAACAACTTCACTGGTCAGATCAATGCTGGGATACACTGACCTAGATAAAACATGCACAATTATCTCCTGTTTGACTAGTTACAGGACAAGATTATCATGCTGTGTGATATGACTAAGTTAAGAAAAAAAAAAAAGATGTCACAGCTCTATGAATGCTGCCAGTCATGCCGCCAAATATCAGTTTTTGAGATTTTGGCTAAACATCAGGTGGTTAGAGCAAGAGCAAGGTACTGCAATATATCTGCAGGTCTAGAACTTTCCTGATCAGGCAGTCTGATATCTGCTGTAATGACTGATTATCCTTTACTGATGCCCAGCTTCTGTTAAAAGGAGGTTAAAGGTTAAGAGCTTGGATTCTCTCCAGAAAGTGCTGCCTTACTTAAAAAAGAAAAACAAAAAAAGTGTGGTGTCTTTTTTTCTTCTTCTTGTTACCACTTGTTCAAAAGTCCATGTAGATCTTGTTAATATTTATACATTCATAATGACATGCACCTTTCTATAGTAAGCTGCTACTTCGCATGCAAGTTGAGCCTTCTCTGTGTCTGCTCTGCATCCTGTGTGCAGGATCAAAGTGTTTTATGTGGGTTTAATTATGCAAGAAAATTTTTCTTCATATGAAACTTCATAACTTCCATTTAAAAAGATTACAAGTGTTGTGCATAGAGGTATTTACACACATCCTTTTTTAAAAGTTAATGGTTTGTTTACAGGACCACTTAATGTGGAAATTAGTCAGTAGTGGGGTTTAACCTTAGAATGAGCGAGAAGCAGATCAGAAATTGTATTAAATTTCAAATTTGAATATATTTAGAAAGTATTTTAAAGTCCTTTAAAGTTCATTCGGGGTTTTAAAATATGCACAATTCAATGTGACTGCGGCTTCTCGCAGTGAAACCCAAATCAGCTCATTTCCAAAACAAACGCTCGGTTCAGTTACAGGCTAAACCGGCCACTTGCCTTCCAGCCCCGGTGCATCAGAATTAATGCAATGCTAAGATTAAAGCTGTGTGAAACCACCGCCTGTCGCTGCCTTCCAAACAAGCAGAGAGCGCAAAGCTAGGCCAAGTCACATGCAGCACTGCAGCAACAGGTCCCTCTCTGTGCCACAGCAGCCAACTGTCAGGCAATTTCTGCACTAAATAAACAGCCTCTGTTATTAAATCCGCGAATTAATAAAGTCACATCCAAGCGGAAGGCAATTAAAACCGCAGAGAGGCTGAAGGAGAGGAGTGAATCCAGTATCTCTTACCTCTTTTTCTCCTTTTCGGCTGTCATATTTTCGCAATGCTGTTTCCACGACAGTATTGAGTAAAGTCCAACTTTAGAGTTAAAACAAAATTATATTTAAAAAAAGCAGGTTTAAGACCGAAGTGCGCAGGTCACAAGGAGCCCGCTGACAGATGAAGTCATTAAACCTGTGAAGCGTTCAGTTAGTCCAGGCTGGCGGTGATTGAGCTGGGGGATTGGGGCCGTACAGTCTCAGAACACTGCCGAGGATTGTACAACCTCTCACCCGCTGAGAAAAGACTCCACACAGGCTGAACGCTGAGCTGCTGCTGCTGACAGAAGCCGCCCGCAGGTCCGCTTGTCAAAACTTTTCTTCGCTTGCTGATATGCAAACTCCCAGAGCTGCTCTGCCTCTGACCTGAGGCTCAGCTGAAGCTCAGTCCCGAACAGCTGATTGGCTGGAAATGCCACCGGGAGACCACCCCGCCCCTTTATTCAGCCCCGCCCCTCCCACTGTGGCCGCTGAGCTCCTTACCTGTTTTGTGCAGGTTGATCTTGTTCCTACAGGTGAGGACGTTATAAAGCTCCAGTGCGGACAATCTGTAGATAAAGTCGCTTTTTGGCCTAAAAACTAGCCTACAGTAACCAGACTAGAAGTATAATGTAGTCACCTCTCACTTTAATGTAAGCTTATGAAGCTTTACATGAAACCATGATTACGACTGTTCTGAGAATTTATCTTTATGCCATAAACACACAGGATCAGATTGTCTCAAAAGTGAGTTTTAACTCTTTAACAGTGTATCCTAGTTCTGCTCCTTTAAAGGCACAGTTTAACTACTCGTGCGACCTTTCTAGGAGAAACTAAACTTTTACTGGAGGAAATGCTGTGTCAACTTAGACTAAGAAGTTTAAAAAACAGTCTTAAGTTTGCCAGAGTTTGCCCATCATTTATAGTTCATGTATTAAACTTAGGAAATCCTAATCAGGTAACGCTCAACCTCCAAGTTCAGTAAAATTATGTCTTACTTGAAAGTGAATTGACATTTTGAGACCCTTGGTCAGTAAATTCAGATTTTGAGTCAGGTAACTCATTTTTTTTGACCATTTCTGCTTTTCTAGTGGTGAAAAGCCTCCACAGAGTGGGATGATTTTCTTTATTTAACAACTGGATGCATCTGGATACTGGAATCAGGGCGACGGCCGCGGTGATTATTCCACCGTCTCCACACTCGCTCAAAAAACATGACGACACTCAAAATGCTATTGTTGAAACTTTAAAATGTGGAATTCAAAACCAGTGAGTGATGTCATGGTCATAGTCTGCATGTCATAGGTGTGTCATGACTATGATACATCTACAATCTGTTGTTTGAAACACACTAATGTCACCATTGCACAATACAACCAAAATCTATAGTGTTGTAGTTTGTAGTACTGTAAGTACTGTTACACAACCTGTTAAATTACTTTTGAGTTACTTTGGCGGTTAGTTTTAATACAGACGCCAACGACAATTTCCAGTTTCCAAATTTATATACGTTTATTTACACACACACACACACACACACACACACACACACACACACACACACACACACACACACACACACACATATATATATACACATTCCATGGTTCCAACTTCCAACCATGGAATTCTTGACATTTTCAGTGTCTTGTGTCAGATTAAAATGCCGCGGCATGCAACGTCAGCCTAACGTCATTGAATGACCTGTGGTCTTAGTTAACTTGAAAAGTATAAAATGTACTAAATGTTTTTACTAGAGTTTTAAGTTGGATTAAGTAGGACAGGAGTCAGTCCCGAGGCCCGTGCACGAGAAGCAGCCTCGCGTGTTGTCTTCTCTTTGCCTTTCTTATCACTGATCTGCTGGCAGTCTTCACAGCAGTGTTTCCATCGGCGACGCTCCAGAACGTTCAAAAAATGTCAAAAACATGGAAAGTATATTCATCCAAACTCATTTCTTCCACTCATTCTTTAATAGAATAATGAAAACAGCCTGCTGCCCTGCTTTTAGCCTCAGTTAAAATGGAAATCTTGTTCTGGGTTTTACGTAAAACTTAGATTTTCTATATTGAATCTCTTATCATGAAAATTTTTACCATTAAAGTCCATACAAGTTCACCATTTGCACTTTTCTGGCGGTTGCCGTTTGGGAGTCATTTACTGGCATTGTCCGCTGAACTAGAAAACAGATTTCTATCTATGCTGCAGGTTGTCAGGTGTAGATGTAACACAACTGTATCAATTTGTGTTTATGTGTAAGCACCTGCAGAACAGACCAAGAGCTGGCTTTAAATATTCACTTTTTCTAATTATGATATGTAAGGTGTACAACTAAAAACCAAAGTAGACAGCAATAAACAGCCTGCGTCACAGCTATTGTTGCTATTCTCAGCGAAACATCAAAGTTGAGCTGTCGTTTTAAGAGCAGGTTGCACCGCATTGTTCAGAAACACATGCTTTGTGTGTTTAACATTGTCCTCCTGAGTCAACATCTCAAATATTTCAGATGGAAAAGATACACATACAGTAGCTTCTGCTTTTTGCTCACTGTGATGTAATATGGGGAGCAAATTATAAAACATATTTTCATCTGTTTTTTTTGACACATCTGAAATCAGTGCAAAGTGAGCATTAAAAATCATAGGAGCTGAAATGATACACCAAACAAACAGCCGTCTCTCTTTGACATCATGATATTTAATTCATTTCAAAAAAATTAAAATACACCTTCACATCCTTTTAAAATACAGTACATTTGGCACGTAGCGCATAAGGGCGAAAAGAAAAAATCAACATAAACACACATGAAGGGCATGGAAATAATTCATCAATGAACAAAATGTACAGACAGAGCTTCACAAATACAGGGACTGCGAACAAACCGCATAAACATACAGTAACACTCTGCGGGAAGATGAACGTTTGACACTGTATGCATCATAATACTGTATCCACTGTTTGAAATCAACATCGTGCCTCCTTGTTTTACATTTATCTCCAACCGCCTCCATCGCTGATGTGACAACGAGTGAAGATGAGCTTCCTACATGAAGGATGTTTTTGTTGGAAATGGCATTTGGCATTTAACATGGAGGACTAGGCATCCCTTTCTAGTTGTAGTGGGACAAATAGTTTGACTTTTTTTTTTTCAAATGAAAGACTAAAGCAACAGGAGACACGAGAGAAGAAGAAAAGTTGGACAACGTTAATCGATAGATCCGCTGTATTTACAGTAACGCATCTTCAGCTCTTTAAACTGCTGCTACAGCATGGGTTTTACTGCTACATGAACGGTGCTGCTTGTTGTGCTATTCTTGGACTTTAATGAAAGCTCATTTAAATGTTATCTGCATGTGAATAAAATTTGATCACAACTCCCACAAATTACCACATATGTAACTGTTTTAGCACGATTTGAAACCAGTTTCGCAGTAACGGTCTTATGTTGTCATCTTTTGGCTGATATTAGCCAATCACAGCTGTATGTTGTCAGATTTCTTTCTTTTACACAATAAAAAGAAAAAGCATAAAAGATGCTTGATGACATTTATAAATGCTGTCATCACACAGTTTGTTCAGCTTTAACTGACTGGCGCTGGTACCGGTCCAAAAAATGCAGTATCACCCTTGAAATGTTTGAGCACTTCGTAAGCAGAGGCTTTATGGGAATGGATGGGGAATCATTTTGGAAATTGAACATTTATTCTATGCCGTTAACATCCCTGACACCCTGCCTTCTTCCTCTACTCTGTGCTACCTTAAAGGGACCAAAAGTAGCTTCTGAGATACTTCTGAAATGTGCTGCTACATGTCTGGTGGAAGTATTGTGCTCAGTGGACACAAGCAGCTCTGGTGTATTACCGGGACCAGTCTTGCTCCAATCATAATGCTTTTTTACACACAGCACTCAAAATCTTCAGATCTGAGAATGGCGTGTCTGAAAAACACTCATCGTGTATCCCTGTAATTTCAGGGTGATATCTTGAGGTTAGGCAGCTAAAACGTGGAGATGAATCGGATTTTAATTGTAACTGCATTTTCTTTCTGTTTGTTTCAACAAATACAAAAACATGATAATCAGCTGTTATTGATTTTAAGTTGTTATTTTGTGAGTTGTAAATTAAATGCAACCCATCAGTGCCAGTGCAGTAGTTTTGTCCTTGTCTAATTCAAAATCAAAGTCTTTGGCCAGCATCATCCATCCAATTCAGGGTCAAGGCGAGCTGGAGCCTATCCCAGCTGCCATAGGATGAAATTGGCATTTTGGACAGGGCTAACACGTAGACATCCACACCTACGGCCAATTTAGAATCACCAGTTCACCTAACATCTACTATCTGCATGTCTTTGGACGGTTGGAAGAAGTACCTGGAGCGAACCCATGCAGATGCAGGAAGAACATGCAAACTCCACCCAGAAAAGCCATAGCCAGATGGTGGATTTGAACCTGGGACCTTCCTGCTCTGAGGCTGTGTGCCCCATGATCTGTCAAGAAGATCTAACATGTTCCAGATATTTTAACAGATTACCTGCAACTGCTTCTGCCCCCAGATAACCAAGGATTTCTCAGCACAGAACCGGGGTGTTGTCTCCCTTGTGGCTACCGTGTTGGTCTATGTCCTCTCCTACTGGAGCTGTTGTTGCCTCTTCGTGATGGGGTGTCACACATATGGGTGGAGGCTGCCCCTGTCAGACAGGCTTTAAGGTAACAGCCCAGCATCCCTCACACCGTTCGATTAATTTTGTCATTTATTTGTTTTGTAAGAATCATTCTAAGTAAGAATTAAAACTACAAATGACCAAACTAAATGGTCACCATGACGAGTTAAGAAAGGTGTTGATGTCCACAACCTGCATGGGACAGGTTAAGAATACCAACTCCTGTGACCTCCAAGCACTCCAGTGTTGCACATTTCCTTAAAATTGAATTTGAAGTTTGCACATTTACTCACATAGCAGCTCAACATGAAACGTGCACTTGTGTTTGAGCATCAAGGAGAGTTTAGATTTGCTCCAACTAGTGGTGCATGAGCCCATCGCGGTACAGAGACTACTTCCTGTTTAGCTATTTGGGAACTGTGACCATTATTTACACAGTTCTTTCTGAAAAAGTACAAGGAAATTAAAGAGCACATACGCTTTAGGTATTAGTCTATTAAATAGGCTCCCAGTAAACTTACAGTCATGTTTGTGTTTATTAGTGCCCTTATCATCATAATTTCTGTTAAATATGCCCTCAGGGGCACTTATTGATATGTTTACATAAATGATTATTTTTTATAGGATCTGAAGGCAGATTTCAAAGCTTCAATCTACTTTAAAGTGTAGCCATTGTTTTTCTTATAATAGCACGCTACTTTCTGCGCTGGCTGCTCTTGACAATATTAATTTTTGGCAAATATCTTTCATCAGTGTGTGGCAATTACATATGAATGTGAGAGAAATGGTGCTGAAATGCTTATTTGATGGTTTCTGAGAGAACGTGGTGAATACTTGTCACTTCTCTCTGTGAGCTGAACCTACTGTACTTCTCTTCAAATGCAGGAACAACGGAAGAAAAAAGAGCAAAAAAGATAGAAAACCCCCCAAAACTCCTATTTCAGAGTATTGCACATGGAGTTTTCTTTAACATTTCTGGATTCTTTTCAGCTCCCTATAAAGGTATCAACCTGCAACATGGAGCAAAATCGGTCCAATTTCTTCCTTATTTGAAGCTTATTTTACTTCCATGTTTAGGCCGTACAAGAGAGGGGAGGAAGAGGAGGGTCTGATCACGTGAGTTTCACTGAAATCTACAACATGAAATTTAAAGATTTCTAAAAACACAAAAAGAACAAGACAATCCAGTAAAAACTACTCAACAAAAACCAAAAGAAATGTATCAAATTAAAAAAAATAAGTACAACTTGATGGGAAAACGGGCTCTCCTCGTATGTACACACACACACACACACACACACACACACACACACACACACACACACACACACTGCAGAGCAAATACATTCAGTTGAACACATTCTCCTCTGTGTATGATCCTCGACTTTCCTGTGGAATCACGGGGGTTTGGTTTGTCATGTTAGAGACAGTAGGTCCAGTACATTCACTGGTAACACAGTTACTGTACACACACGCGCGCACACAAGGCATTTCAAGGATAAACTGGTCAAAAAGGTGTTTAAGGAGCTGACCGAGGAAGATTTCGCTCCACAAGGTGCATCGAGAGAGTCAGTAACAAGCACTTCAGCTAAAATGAATCGTGTTTTTAAAGGGCACCTCGGACGTTTCCGATTCAGCTTGTTCCAGCTTGTTATTTGGCTTTACTAGACTAGTGTCTCCGTGTCAAGTATCGTGTTATATGCAAAACAGCTTGTTAACACTGTAAGCAAACCTCATCCCCATAATGGACACTCCCAGTAGTAAGCTACAGTAGTACCATTTGTTTTTGTTTGTATTTTTTAACGAGGAACTGGAATGTCGATGTTGAGAAGCTAAAAGAAAGTTAGTAACGGAGCACAGCAGAACTACTGACATAATGCTAAACTCAAATTTAAAATGCCAAAGTGTCACTCCAGTGATGCCTCTTCTCGAGTTATTATTTAAGGTAATGACGCACTGACGAATACTGAGACTAAACTTTTAACGTCAGAAAAATCTCTGATTTCTCACACCTCCTTTCCACACTTCTTTCCATAACGAATAAAACAGTTTTCAAGATATTTCTTGTTTAAATACAATCATTGGTTCAATGATTTTTTTTTTTCATTTACATACACGTAGGAAGGAAAAACACTGTTTAAACACTGAGACACAGCACGCAGCACATCATGTAAAGAAACGACTCTCTCTCTAGAAGAGGTGTGCAACAACACATGCATGCACACTTGTACACACATGATCTTATTTCTCTCTCACTCTCACACACAGAGAACATGTATCGCCTTTGTATCTACTTCAGTTTGGTTTTGTCCGCCGCGCTGCCTGCTTTTACAACACATCCGAACCAGCCGAAGGAGCATCGGGTCATTTCTTACAGTAACTGACCTGAACTTGCATGCTGCTTGAGGTCCATGGGATATGCACAAATGGACAAACGACAAGAGCACAGAAACCATAATGAGTAATACAAATGGTCTAGTATATTTCCTGGAGTGGTCAGAACCTGGAACAGCTCAGGAGGCCGTGTTTCTTTAAATACGGTGTCTTTGAAAGTTTTTCAGGTGTGGTGTGGTGTTTGTGGTTAATGTTACACATCGGCATGTACGTGTCTAGGCTTTGGTCTCATCGCCAAAATAGGAGAATCCTTTGAACTCGTCTTGGTTGATCTGCTTGATGATGCTTTCTTCAACAGGCGTCAGAACGGGTTCCTCACGGGTGAAGTCCTGGTCAAAGTTATTGACGTCCCTTTTGGTTTTCTGGAAGGAAAGGAAGAAGAGATAAGGTCTTCTTTTGGTGGATTTAGCCTTTGGACATGAAGTAACTGGGTGTGCAGCAGTGTCAGCAGTCTTCAACAAGTAAGATCAGTGTTTGGTCATTCAAAGAAATTGCATTTTTGCAACAAAGGCTTAACTTTAACTTCTTCTCTCTACCTTTGAACAGAATAGTAATAATCTTCACATTTTTGCATCATCCTCTGCAAACAGTCTACAGATGCTTTCCCCCACAGTTGCTTAGTTACTTAGCGTGTGTGTACTCACGATGCGAGGTTTGAACGGTGGTCTGATCTTCCTCTGCTCCAGCAGCGTCCAGTCAATCTCTCTAAAGAACGGGTGGAGTTTAATGGCCTCCTCCAGACCCTGAGCCATCACGCAGCCCAGACGCTTGTTAGGGCTCTTAGTCATAAACTGACAAGTGCCAGAGAGAAAGAGGAGAAACAAAGACGAAAAGAAAAAGAGTGAGAACATTTTAAAGGATATGATTTAAAGAGGGAGATTCACTGCTGAACAAGAATGTCTTTGTGAAGGAAAGAAAAAACTAAGACAGGGTTTTAAGTCTGTTTCACTATTCATTTCTATTTCATTTCCTGATTCTAGTCTTGTAAGAAGCAATTAACAGGTATCATTTTCAGAGATCTCAGACTGAGTCAGAGGAAGATTCGCACAATAAGGCCAAAAACACCAAACATCTAAAAAAGACAAAGTTTTGTTTCAGAACAGAAAGTAAAATGAAAAATCTTTCATTTTTTTCTGACTCTTCAGGGTCTTGCTGCTGCTCCCCAGAACACACTACCAAATATAAATTACCACTGATGGAAATAATCTTCTTCTAATATTGTGTTCCTACCTGAAATTAATTTTTGGCATTACAGTTTGCTCTTTTTCTAATGCAATCTTTTACGTATAAAGGCAAAAAAAGGGCTCAGGATGGGTTCAGATCCAAAGGTTTCTAAAACAGCATGTGAAGAATCACCATATTTTCAAGCAGAAAAGGGGAAATTCTGGGACTATTAGTTGCTTATTCGTATAAACGATACATAAGAGCCATTGCTTTTTATTAAAATGCCTTCAGGATATTTCGCATGTATGTTAATTAAAAACTAGTGGGGCAGTAGCGCACAAGCTGTTCATGTGACTTGAAGTCCTTCAGCTGGATGACATGTCCAATCAGAGCCCATAGCACCGGTCAAGTGACCGGTCAGAGTCCAAGACACTGTCCAACATAAACACACACTTTCCCACAAGGCTTTGCAGTCAAACTGTACCCACAGCCAAGGTAAACGCAAAGCTTGTGATGGAAAAACTGGATGAACAAATACACAAATGGACAAGTGGTGCTGCACACACAACCAGTAACACACAGAGACAAAAGTAATAGAGAGGGAATTATCTTATGTTGCTTTAGTGGAGGAACAGGAAACATGGATCAACAAATGACACTGAGAAAAAAGCAGCATCCTCACTCACATGTGAAAAAGAGACAAAAGCAGGGAAACACGAGGACAATTGTGATACACTCTACTTGAATCCTTTATAAAGTGAAAGTTTTAGTGCTAAAACAAACAAACAAAAAGTAAGAATTATATAAGATATACACAAGATCTAATTATATATCTTATGTAGCATAAGGAAAAACACAAGAAAAATCATGAAAGACTCAGAAGACAGTAGTAAAAAGGGTGATTTGATTATGTTAATTTGTGTTCTTACTAAATATCCAAAAATGTCACCACTGGAATTATCATGATATGTGGAAACCATTTCTTTCTGTCTTTGTGGAATCTAAAATTGGTTCAGAATCTTCAGAATAATCCCCAAAGTCTGGACGCCGCATTATCCACATAGCAGACTGCGTAAGTCAGGAGTGTCCAACTCCAGGCCTCGAGGGCCGGTGTCCTGCAGGTTTTAGATCTCACCCTGGGTCAACATACCTGAATCAAATGATCAGTTCATTACCAGGCTTCTGGAGAACTTCAAGACATGTTGAAGAGGTAATTTAGTCATTTAAATCAGCTGTGTTGGATCAAGGACACATCTAAAACCTGCAGCACACCGACTCTCGAAGCCTGGAGTTGGACACCCTTGGTGTAGGTGAACTGTTTCTATTTAATCTGTACGAAACTACTTAAATAACTCATTTGCTGGATGTCGACAACAGCGCAAACAACACAGTGCCACAACTAACTGACCGCTCTTAGAATGGACACGGCCTCCTTGCTGAGCCAGACCGGATAGAGCACGTCATCGTGGAGGATGGACTCAAACAGGTCGTCTTCGTTATCGGCCTCAAACGGTGGCTGTCCTGCCATCATCTCGTACATCAGCACTCCTAGCGCCCACCAGTCCACTGAAGGACCATAATCCAGCTCCTGGAGGATCTAAAAAAAAAAAACAGAAATACTCCTCTCAAGCCCAAATTGCTTTTATATACAGTTTATGAAGACGAGCATTGGTCCCCCTATTTAGTCTATCTTAATAAACTGTCAGGGATGGCGTGCTTGGTTATAAAAATACCTGTCTAATCACAGCTTAGTGTTTAATACTCAAGTGACAAACTCAAGTGTTAAGAAGATGTTATGTCTGTTGCTCTGTTTATGCATTGTTTGAGTGTTTCTGGGGTTACCTCAGGTGCTATGTAGTCCGGTGTCCCACAGAAGGTGGTGGTGGTGACTCCATTGAGAATTCCTTCCTTGCACATCCCAAAGTCTGCCAGCTTACAGTGACCCTCATCATCCAACAGTATATTGTCCAGCTTCAAGTCTCTGCAGAGCGGAGAGGTTGTACGGATAAATAATGACAGACATCTGTGTTGTATAGCTACAGCGTGTTTCCATATTCAGAAAGATGAGTCAAATATAGGCATAGTAAAAGCTTTTCAGGAACAGGGGAAGAAAATATTTGTTTGCAATGACTCGGAAAGCAAACATGTTAGTTAAAGCTACAGTTATATCATGCACTTTATTTCACACAAGAGTATATATTTGAGAAATCAAAGATATAGCCACAGTTTTATAGTCACAAGAAAAAATAATACAGGGAACGGCAGGAGGACGGGGGGCAAAGAGAGAAAGTTAAGGGTTGAACAGGAGAAGCATGTAAAGGCAAAAGAGAGAAAATGAGAGTCACAGAGATAAGAGCAGCAGTGTTGAAAGATGACAAGGTTGGTCATGAATGCAGCCGCTCTGGGCTTGATGGTTGATCGCTACAAAAATGTCAACATGTCCTCGATGCAGCCACTGCAGCCATTCAGCCCGAGGTGTTTTCATAAATACAGTCGCCCTGACAAGCCAAAAAGGAGACGGAGCGTGCGTGCTTCAGGTCGAGAGCTTATGCAAGTGTTCTGTTTTTGTAAGCTCCAAAAATAAAAAAGGGAGTTGCACAATCCCGTGCTGTTGAAAAGTTTGTTCTTTTCTGTCACACTGTGTTTTTGTCTGACGGAGCGTTAAAAAAAAACCCCTACGAAAAATTCAGATATGCTAAAAATGTCTATCTGGTTCCTGTCCATTATATTTCATAACTACACTTATATAATTTTTTGTCATGTGATGTATTTCGCAGTCATCTAACAGGTCCGAGCAGTTAGGAGATGCATCTGGATCTCGTGCAAAGTTAAGCCGCGAATGCTATGCTAATGGGAAAACTAGCGTGACATGTTAGATGCAGCAAAGCCTGACAGCTGGGTTTGACCACGTTTTTGCATAACAGTTACACTTGGAGTCAGGCTCAGGTCACAAAAAATACTGAACGTTTTCGTGCTTTTTTTCAAGTTGGAGTGATTTTCAATTGAGGAGGGGAATGTAGTGCACGAGAAGATGATGTTTAATGTTGCGCTGTTTTCACATTCATTCGGTGATTAAAGAACATTCAGCTTCGCCTGCCAAGAAATCTATTTTTTTGTGCTTTTTGTTGTTGATGAATGTTTGCTTTCATTTCTCTGAAATCCACTGGAAACCCTAAACTCTCATCAATCCGAGCTGAGCTGCCCAGAACAACCATGGTTTTGTCCCGCTGAAGAGCTGGACGCTGTGCCTTGCCAAAAGGCACACTGGCACAGCAAAGAGCAGCACTTGTTCTGTACTTTCCCAGATGAAAAATTACAACTGCGACCCCCCCGGCTGCCTGTTTGCATATCTCACCCCAAGGCGACTCCCTGCACATTAATTCTGCGCTGCCTGTGGAAAGGTACAAAAATCACATATGAATTTAATGCATTTTTGATTGAATTTAAAGGCACGCTGACGTTAATCTTTGTATTACACATCACCTCGGTGCAGGAAATTCAATATTAAGTGGCTGCAGGTGTTCAGCAGCACTAATGGAATGATATTTATTAATGTGAAAATGCTTTGTGGGCTCAGAAGTGGGTGTAAACAAGAGCTAATAATCTATGTTGCAAACCAGAAAACAGACAAAATTTATATAATCTTTGTGAGTATAGTTATGTCTTTAATTAATATACTGTAGATTAAGAATCCGTTTTCATCATCAAACTTAGATTCTCTGCACAAATCTTCACTGCTATTATCACAAGTGATGAAGTCTTTCTGTTAATAATTGGTAGGATTATGGTGTTATGACAGTCAATGGATGCACGGCAGCCTGGATCGGAATGAAAAAATAAAAAAGGTCTCTGGGCTTTGAACCAACTTCTTTATTAAGATTAACAATCAGTACAGCCTATAAATGTATTAGTTTTTTATTTGCAGGAACAACTTTCAATAGAGATTTCACATTAACATGTCTTTATTACTTTACTAATAAATGCTATGGTTTGCTCATTTCATTCGTACAGTGTGTTCCTTAATATCAAGTCTGAAAAACATGTTCGTTGTGTTCAAACAACACAATAATCAAAACCATAAAGCATTATTAACTTATGTCATAAAGATTCAGGATCAAAAGTTGCAGTATCAGAGTCTAACATTCAGTTAATGCTTAAGTACGATGGCTTGTATTTCAGTCTTTTATTAAGTCCAATGAAAGCAAATGATAAAATGTATCATCAGTAGATGGTCAGGGTGTACGAGATATACAAATCTAATTGTTTGAGTTTCGCAGCTTCAAAGTCGATTGAATCAAACGGTGCGGAAGGTGGGGAGGGGGTCAGTGCATGCAAGGTAGTAAAAAAAAGAATAAAGCCAAGACAGAAGTGCAAAACACTACAGCTACTCAAAAGGACACTTCAGGGTAGCTCGCAGAGATTGTGTTTAATGTCTCCAATCTCCAAAGCTCCGTATTGAAGCAAATATAAACGTGTTTGCAGACATTTAAGTTGCATTGCGACTTAAAGGTATACATCTTTAGAAATAAGGTTGCTCCATATCACACTGCCCAATGACAGAAATACAAAGCAGGACCAACATGTAAGCCGCCAATGATGATTCAATAAAAAGGGAAGATAAAAAGGGACCTACATGAAGGTTCAATATTAACGTTTTTGTATTCAGGTACCTCCGTCTGTTTGATAATATGCATTCAGTGCACTGGATCCAAAAATCAACATCTATGATATTATCCCTTTGCAAACTCTGAGGTCAATAAACAAAATTCTTACTTTAGGCAGCAGGTGAGCTTTTACTCAAATGTTCAAATACAAACTATTATTTATTATATTTATTTATTTATTCATTTCTAATGAATAAAGCATTACGAAAAACTGAAATTTTACTTCATAGAATCTCCTGGGATGGAATTTTGTAGAAGATTGTATCTTATTGTATCCAAATCAGTATCAAGTCATTTTCTTTCTGCAGGGAATTCACAGCTGTAGTTTCTTTTAGAGGAGCTGCAATAATGCTCAAAAAGTTGTGCCAATAAACAGGAGCTGCTCTGCTCACACTGTCAGGGGCTCTATTTGGAGTTCACACACACACACTCACGCATGCACACACACACACACACACACACACACACACACACACACACACACACACACACACACACACACACACACACACACACACACACGGCAATCAGGCCCAATTGAGAGCATTTCCTGTGTTTCATGGTAATCTTGAGTGATTTTTCCATTACGTCCCCAGCGGCAGGGCCTATGCTCTATGACAGCTAACCCTTCTCTCCCAACTCTCTTACCCCCATCCTTCCATCCCTCCATCTCCTCATCTGTGTGACTATATGTTCCAAACACACATCTGGTCAAACATACAAACACACACAGACTGTTGCCACTGTATATTTTCTCTTTGTGGAATCACTGCATGAGAGGCACATCAGGCTGGGAGGATATTAAAGTCCATAAACTTGAGGATTAATTTGAAAAACTATAATATTGATGTCAGTGAGTGTGAATATTAGGTTTTGCAACTATACTTTAAATAAGCAACCATGCCATATGTGACAGAGTAGCACTCAAATACTTAAGTTAGATATTAAGGATGGAGTTTTATTACTTTTAAGCAGAATTTAAAACTTGCAAATTCTTCATAAAAAAAAAAAACCCTTATCTAATTACCTATTATAAAAGAAAACAACTTACCTAATTTCAGTTACTACTACTGCTTATTTTTTTGGATTCCTCTCAGATTGTCATATCTTTACTACTTGTTTTTGTGCATGTGCAATAATCGCTACTAGTAAAAGATCTGGGTCTTGAGGTTTGACCCAGACACCCAACAGCAGAGTTCAAAACAAGATTTTGTGATGACCAAGTGTTGCATCAGGACAGGAATGTGATCAATTGGGAGACAACAATATAATCGTCACTCAAATTGAAGACAAGCTGTTTTGACACAGATAAAAAGGCACATGTGCAGGAGAGCATGTGCAAATGTAAGAGGGTGCACCGAACAAGTGGAATGAGTGGTCCGAGTAGGAATTTGACTGTGGTGTGGAAAGAGTCTAGAACTATAGAAAAAGATGATCCAGAAAGAGCAATGTTATTACATCTTGTGGATGGTGTTCCTTTTTAGCATCAGGGCAAGCAATTTCGATCAAATGCTACACTGTAAACGACTGAGTAGCATTAGTTGTTTTGACGTATTCATATTCACGTTCCTAAGTTAATAGCATATTAATTATTAATTAACTTAATAAACTTCATTTATTGCATTTAATAATTAATAGATTTATTATCCCATTGTCTTTTATTTGGATGTAATGTTTCCCAGATTTCCTCTAACTTCCCTACTGTGATACTGTCCAAAAGAGGCACATTTGTTTGTCAATTTCATTTAAGCAAGGGGTCTAGAACTCCAGGCCTCGAGGGCCAGTGTCCTGCAGATTTTAGATCTCACCCTGGGTCAACACACCTGAATCAAATTATTAGTTCGTTACCAGGCCTCTGGAAAACTTCAAGACACGTTGAGGAGCTAATTTAGCCATTTAAATCAGCTGTGTTGGATCAAGGACACATCTAAAACCTGCAGGACACCGGCCCTTGAGGTTTGGAGTTCGAGACCGCTGATTTAAGCTATCCAGATAGAAGATAGCAATAGCTATCTGCTATTCTACAGGACAGATTTAACAAGTGTTGGATACATTCCTGAGAAATTTTGGTCCATACTGGCATGATAGCATCACACAGAGGTTGCTGCAGATTTGTCGGCTGCACATCCACAATGTGAATCTCTCATTCCACCACATTCCAAACATGCTATTGGATGGAGATCTGGTGACTATGGAGGCCATTTGACTACAGTGAACTCATTGTTATGTTCAAGAAATGATTTGTGAGATTATTGAGCTTTGAAACATGTGATCTACTGGAAACAACCATAAGAAGATGGGTACACTGTGGTCATGA